TGATTTAAAAAGAGTGATGTTTCCTCTGTCTGAAATTCTTTCCACATTATTATTACTTTACTAATTTATTTTTCCCAAGAAACAGTTTAGCTTTTGTCTGTTTTTGAACTTCATGATGCAATCTTTCATTCAAAATCTAGCTCTTGTTCAATGTTGTTTTTCAGATTTATTAATAATGTTGCATATAGTTATAATTCTTTTATTTTCATTGCTGTATACTATTCAATTATGTGAATACGTATTATCTTTTTGGTAGTTACTTTGTTTTCACTTTGAGGCTATTACAAACATCATTGCTATGGATATTCTTGTATGTGTCTATTGGGGCATGTACACACACACTTGTTTCTGGAAGTGTATCTCTGATAAAATTGCCTCATTGTAGGATATACATAACTTCAAATGTACTAGATAATGCCAAACTCCTCTTGGACCTGTTCCACCTTATGTTTCTGTTGCTGCTTCTTTTTTAAAAAATAGCTTTATTACTGCTTTTGACTCTTTTTGTTAAAAAAATTTTTTTTCTTTAGTCTTTGGGATTCATGATATTATGTTTGATCTCAGCTTTTGTCTGCTCCATGGCAGGATTTCTTGGGTGACTGTTCTTTTCTGGCTGGTTATTTTATTTATATAGCAATTTTCTTTTTTCTTTGTATGTTTGTTTAGATACTATGCATGTCTTCCTTTTAATTGTTATTCATCTTTGTAGTGGGTTCATTTTAGTGTTTACTTCTCTATAGTCAACCTGCAGAGCTAAGCAGCTATCCAGGGAGGAGCATTCGTTCTAATTTAGAGTTATTCTCCTCAGATCCTTTACAGAGGGTCTGAAAAGATGGATTCTCAGTCTGTGACCTTGTTGTGGTCTCACATACTATTCAGGGAGGCTCACTTTCGAGTTCTTTCTCATTGTTTCAAGCAATGCACTGTTGGCCTTACTCTACCAGGTGTAGTACGTGCTTTGAAGATCTGTCTTCTGCTGGTTTTATCTGAGATGTTTTGATTTTCACTGCATTAGCATCCTTCCTCATTTATGATGGTGATTCAGGGTACAGAGGTCTTTTAATTTTTTGAAGAAATTATTTGCATTTCTCTTTTTTTAAAGGGTGATTTCTGAGCGAAGGCAGGTATATGTTGATTTTATCATCTTAAAATCAGAAACATTGCTTATATTTTCAAATTAAGAGCACTTCCCCTCCAACTTTATTGAAGTAACAAATAAAAGTGGCATATATTTAAGGTGTGTCATGTGATTTTTGTGTGTGTGGTAAGAGCATTTAAGAACTAATCTCAGCAAGTTTCAAGTATATAATACATTATTATTAACTATAGTCATTATACTGTACATTAGATCTCCAGAATGTATACATCCTGCATAGTTGACACTTTGTACCCTTTGATCAATATCTCCCCCATTTCTCCCAGCCCCTGGCAACCACCATTCTACTATTTGCTTCTATGAGTTTACATTTTTAGAGTTGACATACAAGTGAGATCGCGTAGTATTTATCTTTCTGTGTCTGTCTTATTTCACTTAGCATAATGTCTTCTGGGTTCATCCATGCTGTGGCAAGTGGTAGAATCTCCTTTTTAAGAGCTGAATAGTATTTCATTGTATATATACAACATTTTCTTTATTCATTTGTCAGTAGACTATTAGGCTGTTTTCATATCTTGTCTTGTGGATAGTGCTGCAACTAACGGGGATGCAGATATCTCTTTGAGATACCGATTTCACTTTCTTTGGATATATGTGTTTTCAGAAGTAGGATTATGAGATCATTGTAGTACTTCTGTTTTCAGTTTTTTGTGGTAACTTCATCATGTTGTTTACCCATGATGTCTGTATGAATTTACATTCTCACCCACAGTGTACCGGGTTCCTTTTTCTCCAAACAGTTGCCAGTACTTGTCATCTTTTATCTTTTTGCTAATAGCTAATCTAACAGATGTGAGGTAATATATCATTGTGGTTTTGATTTGCATTTCTCTGATTAGTGACATTGAGTACCTTTTCATGTACCAGTTATTTACTTGTATCCCTTTTTGGAGAAATGTCTATTCAGGTTTTTTGGTTTTTTTGTTATTGAGTTGTTTGAACTTTTTATCTATTTTGGATATCAGTCCCTTATTAGATATGTGGTTTGCAGATATTTTTTTCCATTCTGTAGGTTGTCTCTTCGTTTATTGTTTCCTTTGCTGTGCTTTTTAGTTTTGTCTAATCCCACTTGTCTGTTTTTGCTTTTGTTGCCTGTGCTTTGGGGGTTGTTCTAGTTAAGAGCTTGCATTTCTGATAATATGTGATGTTTAATACAGTCTCTAGTAGTCTATCCTTACCAAGTTAAGAAAATAGCTTTTTCTTACTTATTATTTCATTAGCTTTTTGAATCAGGAATGTGTGCTGAATTTTTGACATCTAGGAAAATGATTATGGGTTTTTCTTTTAAACTTTTTTTTGGCCGGTTATGGTGGTTCAAACCTATAATCCCAGCACTTTGACAGGCTGAGGTGAGAGGATTGCCTGAGCCAATGGGTTCGAGACCAGCCTGGGCAACTTGCCGAGGCCACATCTCTACAATAATTCAAATAATTAGCCAGGTGTTGTAGCGCATGCCTGTAGTTCTGGCTACTTGGGAGGCTGAGGCAGTAGAATCGCCTGTGCCAAGCAGGTCAAGACTGTGGTAGCCGTGAATGTGCCACTGCACTCCAGCCTGGGTGACAGAGTGAGACTCTGACTCAAAAAACAAAAAAACAGTGAATTATGTTAGTAAATTTTCTAATATTGAATCATTCTTACAGTCTTTATTTTTAAGATAAATTCTTGGTCGGTCTCGGTGGCTCAATCTGTAATCCCAGCACTTTGGGAGGCTGAGGCGAGTGGATTGCCTGAGCCTGCGGGTTCGAGACCAGCCCAGGCAACTTGGCAAGACCTCGTCTCTACAATAAATCAAAAAATTAGCTGGATGTGGTACCACGTGCCTATAGTTCCGACTACTTGGAAGGCTGAGGTGGAAGGATTGCCAGAGCCCAGCAGGTCATTGCTGGGGTGCCGTGAGCATGCCACTGTACTCCAGCCTGGGCAACAGAGTGAGAATCTGACTCAAAAAAAATCCCCAAAATTCTTTTATTGACTGGTTTTTCTCCTAACTTTAGGTCACATTTTTGTTCATGTATTTCTGGTAATTTTTTATCACATGCTAGACATTGTGAATGTTATGTTGTTGAATCCCTGAATTTGTCATCTTTTTTGAAAGTGTTGGATGTTTTCTTAAGTTTCTTATGGATTATGTTTTGAAGTTTCATACTCTAGACCTGACCTTACAAAACTCTGAATAAAGTGTGATCCTTCTGGGTTCTCTGTTGAATGCTCTGGATGATAAGCCAGCTTTCTGTACTTAGGGCTGCTTGGAACTTGGATAGCTCCCTGCACCTCTCCTAGTAACACAGTTGAGGGTATTTCACAGGTTTATGGAGTTCTTTTGCTGTTCAACTCCTCCTCTCTGATACTCTGACCTGCTAATTTCAGCCTCTTCACAAGCTCTTATTTCTGCCTCCTCAGCTCAGCAATATTGCTGAGCTCTACTTGCATCCCTTTTTCTAGGCCAGTTTGAAAGTGCTTCCAGGCAGAAAACTGGAGCAATTTTAGGGTTCATGTAGTTTTGTTTTCTTTCTGTGATTACAGCCCAGTTTTAAAATATTTATTTTATCTCTTTTGTCTTATTTTCTGGTGGTGGGAGGCCATGACTGGGATCAGTTGCTCCATCATGGCAGATTATACATCCTTTTAATATATTGTGAATTTTATTTGGTAATGTTTAATTTCAGATTCATTAAATCATGTTTATAGTTAAGGTTGGTTTGTGACAGTGGCTCTTGTTTATGGGGAGGGGTACTGCTGGCCTTTGCCCTACTTCTCTCTCTTTGGGGATTTAGAAATATAAAATATAAATATATAAAATATACTTTTATTTATAATCTATATCATTCTTAGAAAAATAAAGGGTATAATGTTTATATTTGTGTGTATGTATGTGTTTTGGTAAATAATGGTATTATACTGTATTTATTATGCTTGACCCACTCTTATCCAACTATGTATCTTGGAGCTCTTTCGATGTCAGTACATACTGTAGGTCTAAAATGTAGAACTTTTCATAACTGCATAGTATTCCACAGTATTTGTATACCATAGTTTATTTAACCGTCTACCTATTAGTGGAGTTTAGATGATTCTGGGAATTTTTTTGTCTTCTATAAGCAGTGCTGCTGTAAGGCAATCTTGTACTTTTCTCTCGTGTTTCTCTGTGAAAATTACTTTATTAAGAAATGGAAGACCACCTCATCGGATCCCCTCACACTGTGGGAGCTTTTCTGTCTTCTTAATAAATCCTACTTTCTCACACACAAAAAGAAATGGAATTTTTTTTTTCCAATTTGCTCTCTAGAATGTCTATCAATATATCTTCCTTCAAACAGTACCTATTTCTCCATTTTTATTATTAATGTTTGCCAAACTGTTACGTGAACCAAAGTAATTCATTTTCACCTTCTCAAAATTCTTAAAAATTTCTAATCTACTGTTGGTATCTTTCTGCCCTGCAGTGAATATTCTTCTGTGTATGTTTTTTTTTTCTTTATTTTGCATATGTCTTTGCTGTCATCTTAATACAATTTTAAAAGAAAGGGGAGGTGAGCACATGTCCTTCTCCACTCTGCTGAACTATCTTGATGCTGGATTATTGGCTGTGAGCACTGACTAACTTGATTTTGCACACCAGCCTCTTGTGGTGCAAATCCACATTTATGATGCAGCATGAATCTCTGTGTATTATGAACCTTTGGGGCCATTTCTTAAATGCTGAAAAGGATAAATATAAACTATGTTTTGTGCAGAATGGTATTTAAACAATATAAACTTTTCTGAAAGAATCATTATTAAATCAGGGTATCTGTTGTATTGATGATAATATATAAGAAGCGATTTTTGAAATTTTTATTTTTAGGTATTAGAATATTTAAATGATCTGAAACAATATTGGAAAAGAGGATATGGATATGCTATTAATAGTCGATCCAGCTGCACCCTGTTTCAGGATATCTTCCAGCACTTGGACAAAGCAGTCAAACAGAAACAAAGGTAAACATTAAAGAAAAAATTTAAGTATATTTTGAATTTGCTACTAAGCTTCTGGAAAATATTTTATAATGGGTAATTTTTTAAAAAGGTTTTGTGTGTGTTTAAAAAATTTTTAATATACTAATTAGTACTTAAAATAATTAGACAGTGTATATGTAAATTATGGTGGATATGACCCCTACACTCAACCCGAGAACTAGAACAGTACTAATGACTTGTATTTGTTTATTTATCTGTTTCTCAGCGACTCCATTTTCCTGCCTGTTCTTGCCCCTTCCCTTCTCCTGAAACTGCTCATCTGAACTTTTGAAAACAATAAAAAGTATGACTACAAGAAAAACTAAATATATTGTTTAGTTTTCACACATTCATACTAGAATGTAATCCTTTGCCTATTTTAAAGAGGCAAAGGAATGACAAACACAAAGCAATATAGGTATTGCTATATGCAATACCTTGATGAATATTATAAATGTAATATTTACATTACAACTTTACATTTATAATATTCATCAAGGTATTACATTTAGCTGTGGTTCATTTTCAGTAATCAATGTGAATATATTATGATTTATACCATCAACTCTTGTCAGTGGTCATTTAGATAGTTTTTGTGTTTTGCTATTATAAATAGTATAGTTATAGAATGTTTTTATTTTGAAAGAGAAAAGGCCTTTGTCCACATTTAATTAAAAAAATAATTTTTTATGACTTAGTAAACCCTTGGTAAACCTCAGCCCATCTTATTGTCGGATATGCTTCCATGAAGTTTTATACACTTAAAATTGGAAACAAAAACCTAAAAATTAGGATAGAAGAGACTGGGGGTGGTGTGTTTCATTGTGTTTCCAATACTAAGTTTTATTTGTATAAATATATTTTGCCTGTGGAAATGATTGTAGTTTGCGAAATTTTCTTGATTTGATGGGAGATAGGGAAGAAAAACCAGACTGAATTTTGTGGAGATTTCAGTCAAGGAAAGTAAATACTTTGAGATAGGAGTTAACTTTTTTCCTGCTCAATTTTATGAATGGTTTATAATCCTTGGGCTTTACAAGATAATAGATCTTTATTATTTGTTTATTGTTTATTGTTTGCTTCACTGTTGAAGATGAAGTATGGTAAACTTAAAACTGTCAAGAAGATTTTTAAATAATGCTCGAGAGGCTTGCTGTTACTTGTATATTTTATTCCTGATTTAAAGTTTAGGTGAGAAATTTATCATTGGTGTTTTAAAATAACTGAGTATTTCTATATGCTGAAAACTACAAAGCATTCCAGAGAGAGATTTAAAATGAACCAAATAAATGGAGAGATACACCATTTTTGGGGGTTGGGAGACCTAAATTGATCATTTATAGATTGATTTCAATCCCTATCAAAATCCCAGTATTTTTTGATAGAAATTGAGATGCTAATTCTAAAACTTATACAGAAATTTAAAGGACCTAAAAGAGGAAAAAAAATTGAAAAAGAACATAGGGACTTATGATACCTGACTTTAAAGGTTACTATAAAGTTATTGATAGATCAATAGAATAAAGTGAAGAAATAAACTAAGATATATATATAGATATATAGATATGTATATATCTGATAAATTGATTTTTGACAAAGATGACAAGGTACTACATTGGGGAAAAGGGTAGTATTTTCAGCAAATGCTGCTGGAACAATTGGATATCTGTATTTTGAAAAAATGACACGTAGACCCTTCACACCATATACAACAATGAATCATAGATTGAAACGTAAAACTTTACAATTTCTTGAAGAAAATATAAGAGCAATGACCTAAATACAAGAGCTAAAACTGTGAACCCTCAGAAGAAAACACTAGAGTAAATGTTCATAACCTTGGATTAGGCAAGAATTTCTTCTTTGCAACATCAAAAGTGTGACCTGTTAACAAAAATTGATAAGATGGACTTCATCAAAATTAAAAACCTGTTATTTCCAAATTTTCTATTTGAAAAATTAGAACACAAGCCATAGATTTGGAGAGTATATCTGGAAAACATATACTGAAACCAGAATGTACAGAGAATTACAACTCACTCATAAAGAAAGAGAGAACCCAGTTTTTCAAAGGGACAAAAGATTAGAATATATTTCACCAAAGAAGATACATGGATGGCAAATAAGCACACGAAAAGATGCTCAACATCGTTAGATATTGATGCCATAATGAAATACTACTAATATACCCCCCAAATTTGCTAAAATTTAAAAATAAGATTGTCTTAAGTGTTAGTGAGGTGTGAAGTAATTGGAAACTTTATACATTGCTGGTAGGAATGTAGAATTGGATAGGCATTTTGGAAAACTTTTACAGTTTCTTAAAAAGTTAAACATGAGCCGGACACGGTGGCTTACATCTATAATGCCAGCACTTTGGGAGGCGGAGATGAGAGGATTGCCTGAAGCCCAGGGGTTTGAGACCAGCCTGGGCAACTTGGTGAGACTGTGTCTCCACAATAAATAAAAAAAATTAGCTGAGCATGGTGGCACACGCCTATAGTTCCAGCTACTTGGAAGACTGAGGCAGAAGAATCGCCTGAGCCCAACAGGTTGAGGCTACTAAATTCATAGCTCTTTTTATTTTATTTATTTATTTTTTAAGTTGGCGTCTCAGGAGTGTGCCACTGCACTCCAGCCTGGGCGACAGGGTGAGACGCCAACTTAAAAAATAAATAAATAAAATAAAAAGAGCTATGAAGAGTAGTTTCTCCTCAATACCTAAATATGTGCTAGTTAGAATAAATGATCTCTAAAGTTTCCCCTCAGGTACAAACTTATGATTCCATGGAATACTAAAAAAAAGTTAAACATGGATCAGTATGACTTAGCAAATTCACATAGAAATGAATACACGTGTCTACACATAGACTCTTATGTGACTGTTTATAGCAATATTTTTCATGTTAGTTAAAAATTGTAAGCAGTTCAAGATGTCCATCAATTGACATCCATATGATGGAATACTACTCAGCAGTGAAATAAAACAATGAACTATTGATAGTTGACCAAATGAATGACTTTAGAAACATTGTGCCTAGCCGGGCTCAGTGGCTCAGCCTGTAATCCCGCACCTTGGGAGGCTGAGGTGAGTGGATTGCCTGAGCCCGCGGGTTCGAGACCCGCCTGGGCAGCGAGACCTCATCTCTACAATAAATCAAAAAATCAGCCGGGCGTGGCAGCGCACGCCTGTAATTCCGGCTACTCGGAAGGCTGAGACGGAAGGATCGCCGGAGCCCAGCAGGCGAGGCTGCGGTGGCCGGGAGCGGCCACTGCACTCCAGTCTGGGCGACAGAGTGAGACTCCAACTCAAAAAAAAAAAGAAAAGAAACATTATGCTTACTGAAAGAAGCCAGATGCGTAAGACTACATATATAAACAGAATGACTCTGAAATTTCTAAAAAACGCAAAACTTACGAGATAAAAGCAAATTGTGGCCTGGGTCTAGAGGTAGGAGCAGGGATTGACTAAATGAGCACAGGGAACTTTTTAGGGTGAAAGTAGTGTTCCCAACTGGGTTGTTGTGATACACAACACAGCTTTGTACATTTATTTAAAACATCTAGCTACAATTAAAACTGATGAATTTCATGGTAGTTATACTTCAACAAAACTTTTAAAACTGTGGATATTTAACAAGAGGAAAAGGGGAAAATAAAGGAATGAAATACCTTTTGGTAAAAGTGGAAAAAGATTTTCAGAGAAATTTAAAATTTCACATTTTGAAAACTTAGTAGAGTTGCCAAATGCTTATGACATGTAATTGAAAATGTTTGAAAATTATTAGTTCACTTTCCTACCTTGAGGCAATATATTGGAAAATAATTGACTTTTTGGAAAATTAAGGATCTTACAGTGTCATAGATTCATTTTTTTAAAAAATAGTTTAATTGAGAAATAATTCATATGCAGGCATACGAAATTTTTCAGTTTCAGTTCCAGACCACAACAAAGCAAATATCACAATAAAGGAAGTCATCAAAAATTATTTGGTTTCCCAGTGCATATAAAAGTTATGTTTATATTATACTGTAGTCTCTTTGGTGTGCTAAAAAGCAAAAGAAGAAAATAAAAATTCTGCCTTCATTTAAAAATATTTTATTGCTAAAAAATGCTAGCAATTATTTGAGCCTTCAACAAGTTGTAATCTTTTTGCTGGTGAAGGGTCTTGCCTCAATGTTGGTAGCTGCTGACTGATCAGGGCGGTGGTTACTGAAGGTTGGGGTGGCTGTGGCAATTTCTTAAAAGAAAACAATAAAGTTTTCTGCATTGATTGACTCTTACTTTTATGAAAGATTTTTTTCTGTAGCGCGCAATACTGTTTGATAGCATTTTACTCACAGCTGAACTTCTTTCAAAATTGGAGTCCGTCTTCTCCAACCCTGCCTCTGTTTTATCAACTATGTTGATGTAGTATTCTAAATCTTTTGTGCCATTTCAATAATATTTATAGCGTCTTCACCAGGAGTAGATTCTCTTCCCTCATCCATTAGAAGCAGCTTCTCATTCATTCAAGTTTTATCATGAGATTGTAGCAATTCAGTTACATCTTCAGGCTCCACTTCCAGTTTTAGTTCTTTTGCTAATTCTACCCCATCTGCAGTTACTTCCTTGTCGTTGCTGAGGGTTGGAATCAACATCTTCTAAATTCTTGTTAATGATGATATAGTGACCTCCTTTCACGAATCACAAATGTTCTTAATGGCATTTAGAGTGATGAAACCTTTCCAGAAGGTTTTCGGTTTCCTTTGCTCAGATCCATCAGAGGAATCACTGTCTTTGGCAGCTATAGCCTTATAAAATTTATTTCTTAAATAATAACACTTGGAAGTCAAAATTACTGCTTGAACCATGGGCTATAGAAGTTATATTAGCAGACATGAAAACAACATACATTTCCATGTACATCTCCATCACAGCTCTTGAATGATCAAATGCATTGCTCAGTGACCAGTAATACTTTGAAAGGAATATTTTTTTC